AGAGAGAGAGAGAGAGAGAGAGAGAGAGAGAGAGAGAGAGAGAGAGAGAGAGGAGAGAGAGAGAGAATGAGGTCAGTGCAGTGGCTGGTTCTGTTGACCTGATTGTTCCGGGACTCATTTTATTGGGGGGCTCAAGTACAGGGAGTTAACCACATGTCAGGGAGAGGGCTGTAAAAGGGTGGTTGGTGGATGGGCAATGCCCTAAGAACACCAACTGCTGTATGTGGTAGCTACCGGGGTAGAGGAACCAACTGGAGGAGTTTGTGTGGCTGAGTTCTGCCGTTGGCTGAGGGGTCCACCGTGGTCACTCTCGTATCTCTATATTCTACATCTATACTCTCGTATCGTATACCTACGGCTTCTCAAGAGAGAATGGCAGTGTCGTCCCCCATCCATGGCAAGCCCTGATGGAAAGCCAGCTGACTGGGTACAGGGAAGGTCTCCTCCAGTGGCAGTAAGGAGGTCCCAGGGGTGTGTGGATAAAGGGCCCACCCCACTGCCCTGGGCAGCTCATTGCTAACAGTCAAAGGAGCATGTCAAATGTGCTCTGATTCACCAGTGGGAAACAAGATATGGTAATGCAGAAGATGACCAACTTCCGTTGGGTGCCAGGGGTGGAAAGCAGTTGAAAAACACTGGCCCAGAGTCCTGGGCCTGGCTCTGATGCTGATGGCCTGTGTGTCCTCAAGTGGGTCATTCAACCTCTTCAAGCATCCAGGTCCTTCCTTGACACAGTGATGTGAATTATCCCTCCATAACCTCCTACCTGTAGGTCCTTGTTGGAAAACAAAATGTTATAAGAGAGAGAAAGTCTTTTCCACTGTGAAATGGCATCTGAGAGAAGTTTTTACTGCGGTTTGGGGGTTATCATTTGGAAGGCGTTTTATCAAGGGGTTACTTATCTCTCTTTAGGATAATCCTGGAGATTGAAGAACCAGCTGCCAATCACAACGGGGGCCAACTGCTCTTTGGGGACGACGGCTACCTCTACATCTTTACCGGAGATGGCGGGATGGCCGGAGACCCCTTTGGGACGTTTGGAAATGCGCAAAACAAGTATGCCCTGCTTCTTCCCTGCTCAGGCATCAGCTTGCACACAGAGCTTCTCGAGAGTTTCTGGAGGGGGGTCAACTGCCCCTCCCACACAGAGCAGGGTGGTAGCCTGCCTTTAGCTGGGACCCCACTGACTAGCGAGGACAATGACAAGCTCAGTGGGAGAGCGCCATGAGGAAAGGAGGTGCCAGTGGTTGTCATGGGTCAGGCACAGCACTCATTGTCACAGATACCCGAGAAGTGACAGCAGTGAGCGAGCCTTTGGGAAGATAGGGCTTTCTCCAAGGTGATCTCTGGCCCGCTGGGCCTTGCTGGGGTAAGGCATGGATTCCCACGACAAAGGGGGACCTGGGGTAGGTCTCTCACTCCCATAAGAGACCCAGAAGCTGAGTGCAACCTCATCGCCCCCATCTATCTATTTCCTGTTTTGAGCAAATGGCTCGTCCTCCTCCTTTTGTGTGTGTGTGTGTGTGTGTGTGTGTGTGTGTGTGTGTGTGTGTGTACATAAACACACATGGAGAACTGTGCATGTGCACAGGGAGATCCAGGAGGTCCCAGCCAGCCTCTCCTGTTCCTTTACTCCAAATCCGCAGCCTCTCTTGGCCAAGAAAGTAACAGCAGTGAGGATGTGTGGACTACGGTGTGTGGCTTATGTGTCCCCGTTTGATAGTAAGAAACATCCCACCTTTTCACACTGGCCACGTGATTAGAGCTGGCGCTGAGAAACTACATGAGGATCCTTGGATCACTGAGCTGAAGTTAAAAGCGTCACTTTGCGGCTAGGAGTTCTTGTCTGTAGATCCTGGAGCTGGATGTGGGGTGTGAGGGTGGGGGCCTGGAGTGACTGGCCACAGGGATGAACCATTGCCACTGGTGTGTTTATCACCATGGCAGGACACTTGTGAGGGAAACACTGGGTGGGTTCTAATGCTGTGTGCCAGTGACAGGGACATAAATGTGTCACCTGAGTGAACTCTGCCTTCCTTGCTGGGCAGCCTGGAGGGAGGAGTCAGCTCCCATGTGCTAACGGAGGGGGAAGCATGCCCTGAGTGGGCACAGCAGGAGCCACCCTGAAAAGCTGTGCTACCACCCTGCTCACTCCAGGTATCTTCTAGGTCAATGGTTCTCAACTTTCTCAATGCTGGGACTCTTTTAATACAGCTCCTCATGCTGTGGTGACTCCCAACCATAAAATTATTTCATTGCTACTTCCTAACTGTAATTTTGCTACTGTTTTGAATTGTAATGTAAATATCCGATAGGCGACCAAGGGGTCGCGACCCACAAGTTGAGAACCACTGTTTTAGATCCCCCCCCCCCCCTCGTGGACCACTTTGCTCATGTGATCGATGAAGCCATCGGCTACTTTCCACCTCCCCCTAGAGCTGCCAGGAAGTTAGAGCACACGTCCCCTCTCCCTCAACTATATTTGGTACTATTTGATATATCCGGCTTTGATGACTTGTTCTGATTCAATGGCTCAGCACTTTGTGGTCCTCACTATGTGGGAGCACCTGGTTGACTACGAGAAAAATACGAGTTATTTTTCTAGTACAATCTTCACCCAATAGCACAGCTATGTGAACAGCAGCACTCACAGTATTACAGCTTAGAATAACGGCATCTCGAAGACGTTCGTGGTGAAGAGCTTGGGTTTCTAGGGCCTGGTGCAATTGAACGACAAGTCGGATGGCGGCTTGTCCTTGCTCGGTTGCCCCCTCTAAAGGGCAGCTCTGACCTGAAAGGTCAGCTGTGACAGGTGGTGAGTTAGGGCTTCCAGTAGGGTTTGCTGCGCAGCGAGCGCAGGACAGACACGCAGGAGGGTGTGCAGAGAGAGCCGGGGCAGATGGATGAGCAGGAATGGCTGGGCTCACCCTTCCTGCTCCCTGCCCGGACCCAGTGTAACCCGTCGGCGCTCTCCGCCCCGGCCGCAGGTCGGCGCTGCTGGGCAAGGTGCTGCGCATCGACGTGGACCGCAAGGAGCGCGGCCTCCTCTACGGTATCCCGCCCGACAACCCCTTTGTGGACGACCCCGGAGCGCGGCCCGAGGTCTACGCCCTGGGCGTGCGCAACATGTGGCGCTGCTCCTTCGACCGCGGAGACCCGGTGTCAGGCACGGGCCGTGGCCGCCTGTTCTGCGGGGACGTGGGCCAGAACAAGTACGAGGAGGTGGACCTGGTGGAGCGGGGCCGCAACTACGGCTGGCGTGCTCGCGAGGGCTTCGAGTGCTACGACCGCAAGCTGTGTGCCAACGCCTCCCTCGGTGACTGCGCCCCCGGGGACCTCCAAACAGCATCTCTCTGATCTTCACCCTTCCTCCGACTAGATCTGCCCCCAACTCTCTCCTGCACAGATCCTCAACATGGATCCAGTCTGTCCCACCCCATCCCCTTGGGGACTCCCCAACTTGGATCAGCATTTGTCCAGAACCCCAAACCTAGGTCCTCCCTGGGTCTGTAGACCCAGATCTGTCCCATTCTTCAGGGGAACTCCAATCCAGATTCGACCCCTTTCACTCCACTGAGTGACTACATGGGAACCCCCTGCCTCCCTCCCTCCCTCCCTAGACACCCCACGTCACCACCTCCCCCACTTCCATATAGCATTCATTGTTCCCTGCCTCTTTCACAGGACTGGCTTTTCCCACTCCCGACCTTCCTGTGCTACGGGGGTCCCTTCAAGCAATATTTTAGGTTCCTCCTCACCATGCATGTCCTAAAATACGGTTATGCCCCTGAGAGCTTTCCTCGAAGAGGCCACCCCCTCTCCGTGAGTGGCTCAGGGCTGTCTGTGAGGCCTCGGGATGAACCCATTTTTCTCACCGCCCCTCAGATGATGTGCTGCCGATTTTCGCCTACCCTCACAAGCTGGGCAAATCAGTCACTGGGGGCTACGTGTACCGGGGCTGCGAATACCCCAACCTCAATGGCCTCTACATTTTTGGTGATTTCATGAGCGGGTAAGTGGCCTACATGACCCACACTCTTCCTGACTGGTGAAAGGAGTGTGTGTATGTGTGTGCTCAGGAGTGGGCCAGACAGGTCTCTTCCTCAGGGAGAAAGTCCCGGTCATTCTTAGGAACAACCAGTAGAATAAAAAAGTGCGTGCAAAGACGGATGGATGGATAAGTGGATGGAAGAATGAGTAGACGGACAGGTGGATGAAATAAATGGGTGTGTGAATAACTGGAAGGATGAGTAGATGGATGGAGGAGTGGATAGATGGATGGATGGATGGATCCCCTTGTGCAACGCACTAGCCATGACCTCACAGTTCATCTTCCTTTGCAGGCGACTGATGTCCCTCCGAGAGAACCCAGAGACAGGCCAGTGGAAGTACAGTGAGGTCTGCATGGGCCGTGGACAGACATGTGCTTTCCCAGGCCTCATAAACAACTACTATCCATATATCATCTCCTTTGCAGAGGATGAGGCTGGTGAGCATGCAAGGGCCCCCTCCACCCTCTGCCCATGTTGGGACTGTAACCACCAACCCTGGTCATCCTTCTGATGGTAAAGAAGCTTAAGCGTGAACTGGCTCATGCTGGAGAGGGCTGTGTACAGGGGCTTGGCCTTTTTCCTTTTGTGTTCTTGAATCAGCCCTAGAGACTCTGTTCCCCAGCTTCCCTTTTCTTATCTGGAAACTTAGGGAAGTGTCTGTCCTCCATCCCCATGGTGGGTTGGGTAGGAGAACTAGAGACATAAGGGGCACAAGCCCCCAGTGTTAGCAGGGTCAGGGGAGATCTGCAATTTGGAATTGTAGGCAGATGGGAGAAGAGCTGGGTTCCCGATTGCATTTGAGCTACTGAGGGAACTACATTGACATTTTAAAGCAGGCAGACACAGCCTGTTGTTACTGGACCTCACATTCCCAGCAGGGGACGGAGGGGGGAGGGAGAGAAGAAGGGACCACAGAGGCTGGGTCCCACTCCAGCATCCCGCCTTTGTCCTTGGCCCTGGGATTGTTCCCTGACAAAAGGCTAGGGGCCCCCAGCAGGCTCTAGTGCAGGCTTGTTGAAGTTTCCAGGCAACGCTCCCCACAGCCTTTGGAGGGGCATCCCCTGCAGGGCCCAGTGCCCAAAGTCCCCAGGGCTTAGTCTGGGAAACTTTTGTTGTACTGCCACCCACCCCCCTCATTAGAATGTGAGTTTCCCAAAGGGCAGCCCCAGCCCCAGTCCCACAGAGGTTCTTAAGCTCACCAAGCCCTTGGAAGCCTTTTCTTTTGGTCAGTAGGGGGTTAACATGATTTGGAAGCAGCATCTCTCCTCCCTAGTACCGAGTCTGAAGGAAGGTGCAGTTCCCAAGGGCCCTTCCTCAGTCCTTTGAGTGACACAGAGTGACAGGAAACCAGGAGGAGGCGCCGATGAGCTGGCCAGCCCAGGGCCAGCCCTGGATCACGTCAAGTATCAGTGCTTTCAGACAGAGCAAAAACAGCCTCTCCCGGCCCCTGGCTCTCTAGCTGTGCTTTGGACACATCAATGATCGTACAAGGACCTCTGCTGCCCCAGTGATCTTGCACAGAGACCAAGAGGACAGGGCCACCCTAGGCAGGACTTATGCATACACAGGATGTGGGGACCCAGCTTCCAGATGATCATAGCCAGCAGAATAGGCCTGTTGAACCCTATTGAAGCAGGGAGCAGGGTAATGCTGGGTGGGGAGGTGGGAGCTTCTACGGGCCGAGGCAGGATGAGACATATGGGGACTTCAGGGTTGGTGGAGGTTGGGGTGGGGGGTCAGCCTTTGAGCCTGAGGGCAGCCTGGGTGGGACAGGACGGCCTAGATTGTGTTGCAGACAGTGTTTTCTCATTGCCCCTTTCCCCGTCCAAAGGGGAGCTGTACTTCATGTCCACGGGCGTGCCCAGTGCCACTGCTGCACGAGGAGTCATCTACAAAGTGATAGACCCCTCCAGGTGAGTCCCTGAACTGGTGTCCTGCAGCCCACAGTGTCTGCAGAGACAGTAAGTGCCGCCATCTTCCTCCTCTGACTCCTTCTGTGTGTGACAGCGCCCTCTCAGCTCTCCATGGTATGAACGAAGCCGGGGCCACCATGGGTAGTGTGCCCAGTGTGTATCAACCTGTGGCCTCCAGATGCCTTCCCTGACCCACTTGCCCTCCTGTCCTACCCTGTCCTCTCAGATGTCATCACTTGGCGGTGGCATTGTCTCTCACCTGCCTAAAGTCTCCTCACCGTGGTCATGCCCCTCAGGTCCTGGGAATGGCACAGCACAGACACTAGACTGTGTTTAACGAACAATTATGGGATGATCTTTCTGGAACCCCCTTCCTAGCCTGTAGATTTTTTTTTTTTTGTTTCTCCCTCAGAGCAGCCAATGACCCTAAACTTTGAGACACACCAGGTGTAAAGAAATCCTAAAACACATACTGAGCCTAAAAAAAGTGATTTTCAGCAAGATGTATGGGTATATACTTGTAACCCCAGCTGTTTAGGAGGCTAGAAGGAAGACTGCAAGTTTGAGCTCAGCTTCTGAGAGTTATGAGCTAGCCTAGGCAATTTAGTGAGATCAGATTAAAAGTTGTGTGTGTGTGTGTGTGTGTGTGTGTGTGTGTGTGTGTGTGTGCAGGGGGCTGGACAGACTACGGATATAGAGGGCTTTTCTGGCATACACAAGGCTTGAGTTAGTTCTAGTTGATTAAATTTTTTTTAAAGATTTATTTATTTATTATGTATACAGAAGAGAATGCCAGATCTCATTACAGATGGTTGTGAGCCACCATGTGGTTGCCGGGAATTGAACTCAGGACCTCTGGAAGAGCAGTCGGTGCTCTTAACCGCTGAGCCATCTCTCCAGCCCCAAATTTTTAAATTATGATTTATTTTTATTTTATGTGTATTGGTATTTTGCCTGCATGTACGTCTATGTGAGGATGTTGGATTCCAGGGGATCTCTGGAACTGGAGTTACAGACAGTTGTGAGCTGCCATGTGGGTGCTGGGAATTGAACCCGGATCCTCCAGAAGAGCAGCCAGGGCTCGTAACTGCTGAGCCATCTCCCCAGCCCCTCTCCAGTTTAATTTTACGGTTACTGTCTGTGTAGAAGATGAAGTTTATTGCAGAATAGCATGAGGCACTTCCAGGAGCGAGGGGTGCCATCTCAGAGGAGAACGCTGCCCCAGAGCGAGAGTGGCCAGGAAGGTCATTATGTAATGCACACTCTCAAGGGGTGAAAGTGAACAATGACAAAGGGGTCATTGTGTCGGCCTAGTGTTTGGGCAGGTTTTTTTTCTTAAAGTCTCTAAAATGTACGGCTTCTGGAGGGGCATTTTCTTGAACAGGGGATTGTCAGCGTGCACATGTGTGTGTGTGTGTGTGTGTGTGTGTGTGTGTGTGTGTGTGTGTGATGTATGTGAGTGCAGGCATGCACATGGCATGCCATGGAGAGGACACCTCTCAGGAGCTAGTTCTTAGCCTCCAGGTTAGCAGGCCCAGGAGTGTCTGGACCATTCTCCTAGCTATCTCCCAGCTCATGGTAGGATGGCTGGGATTGCAGATGTGTGGGACTGCATCCAGCTTCGTGTATGGGCGTTGCAGATCTGAACATGCGTTATTGGTCTGCGCCAAAGTGCTTTACCCGCTGAGCCGTTTCCCTGGTGCCTGCTTTGTCATTTTGATATAGGATCTTGTCATGTTGCCTAGGCTGGGCTGAAATTCTCAATCCTCCTGCCTCAGCTCCTCAGGGCTGGGATCACAGGTATGCACCACCTTACCAGGGTCTCTCAAGTTTTCTGAAGATTGCTTTAGTTTTCCCCTCGTGTTCTTTGGCATTTTTTATTTTTTTAGACAAGGCCTTGTGTGGTCTAGGCTGCCTTTGCGCTCCTCAGGCCTCTAGCTCCCAGATGCTCCCTTGCCCGGTGCATGCTCCTTCTTGACCTCAGGACCCCACTTCTCATTCAGTCAACATGTTTTCTTTTTTGATTCTTCAGCTGAGACAGCGAGAAAGATGGTTTATTGTACACGAGTTACACTTGGCCACATGTGAGAGCAGAATGAGTTCAGAATGCCATAGGTCCAGGGCAGAGGGCCAGCGGGACTGTTTTGGTTGTAATGAAAGCCAAGTCTCTCAGGTGGTCTCTGCAAGCCGATGGTGACGTTCCAGGTCCATCAGACTTGTAGCGATAGTAGCACACAGTCCCGCGACTTGCACCGAAGTCCCGGCCTTCAGCATCCCTTGCTTCGGCTCCTCCAGCCTCGTGGGTGCACAGGCCATGTTTACTTGGACCTCTGCCTCATCCTTCTCCTCTTGTGCTTCAGCCTGCACATGTGCTTCTTCCTCCACTTCACTCTCACGGCGCATGAGTCCCAAGAAGAGGGCGCTAAGGCTGAGAGTGTCAATATGTTTTCGTAGCTCTTGTTTCCAGACCGATTCTCAGACTCCTTGCTCCTCATACTGTGTGTGTTGTTTTAAATCATGCCTTACAAAAGTACAAATTGATCAATTAATGACATAACTACTTCTCCTCCTCCACCTCCTCCTCCCTCTTTCCCTCTCCTCCCCTGCTCTTCCTCATCCCCCTCCTCCTCTTCCTCACCCTCTTCCTTCTCCCTTCCTCCTCTCCTTCCTTCTCCTCCTCCCCCTCTTCTTCCTCTTCTTCTTTTGAGACAGGGTATCTCTGTGTATCCCTGGCTGTCCTGGAACTCGCTCCATAGACCAGGCTGGCCTCGAACTCACCAAGATCCGCCTTTCTTTGCCTCTGAGTGCTGGGATCAAAGGCATGCGCTGCCACCACCACCTGGCTCATGACAATCCTTCTCACAAAAGCCATAAGCATGCTCTCTCCTCTTATATGTCTCCAACTTGTTTTCCACAAGGTCCCTCCCACCTTCATCCGGGTGGCTTCATACTTGGACCACAATCAGCCTTGCTCTCCTGTCATTGGCTTGTCCCTGAGGAAGGTCATTGTCTCCACATGGCATCATCACTCTTTTTTTTTTTTTTTTTTTTGAGCTGAGGATCGAACCCAGGCAAGTGCTAGGCAAGCACTCTACCACTGAGCTAAATCCCCAACCCGGCATCATCACTCTTAAAAGGATGCTAGCCATTGTCTGCGGAGTCACTGAGCCATCCTCATCCTCCATAGTTCTTGGAAGTTGAGGTTATTTTCATTTAAAAAGGAAATGCTGGGACTGGAGAGATGGCTCAGTTTTTAAGAACACCAGTTGTTCTTCCAGAGGACCTGGGTTAGGTTCCCAGCACCCACATGGTGGCCCACAACCATCTGGAACCAGTTTCAGGGATCAGACTCCCTCTGTTGGCACTGCACACATGTGGTGCACAGATGTACATGCAGGCAAAACACTCACACACATAAAATAAAAACAAATATTTTGTGGGGGGAATAAAAGAAAAAGAATGATTCTCTAAGGACCTGACACTTTTACCGAGCATCTAATTGCTGCCAGATGTCATCTTAGCTGCTTTCTGGCCTTTGATTTCACAACACCCTCTCCCTTTGGTTCATTGTCCCTGTGTATGGAGGGAGAACTTTGACTTTTTTTTTTTTTTTTTGCTCAAGGTCTTGGGGTCAGAGGCAGGCAAAAGTGGGTGGGACTCCTCCCTTTTATTTTTCTCTTTTGGAAGAAGTGTGCTTCCTGGCAGCCACACCTCGGAGGCCTGGTAGCAGACATGTGGAAAAGGAAGAAGCCAGGGAGGAAGGCCCAGGGGCCTCAGCTCACTGCCCAAACAGAACCACTGAGGTGTTTTGCAGTGTAGCCTACAAAGGTTAAAAAAATTATCTTTTCATTTCCTTAAGAGACAACGCCCTCCTCCCCTTACCCAGTGAGAGGTCGGAGGAGGGATTGGCTGCGCCTCCAGCTTTGAGAAGTCTGTGTGTCTTGCAGAGGCACATGTCCCCTCCTCTGCCAAGTCTATCAGGAGGCCACCTCGTCATGTGGCTATTTCAATCCCAGGCTGACGGAACCCCCATTGAAGTCCTGGGCCCACGTGGGGGCAGTCTGGGAACAGGGTCGGACCCATTCAAAGAATCACAGATCAACAGCCAAAAACTAATTAAATGGAATTCTGGTCCTTGTGTTTCTGCAGGATGGGGAAGGAGGCTGCTCACACCCTGACAGCTTTTCTCAGACTCTTTTCTCTGAACTGCAGGCCCCGAGGCTGTGCTGGGCCTGCTGAAGCCAGCTTCCCACGACTCCTCCCTTCTGCGCACTGTGTCTTTTAGCTTGCCTTAACTATCTCCTGCCTTAAATTTCTCCAGGCCTACGTACCACCAGAAACCCCAAACTAGAGGCAGGGAGAGAGACTCTTCTCACAGGCCTGGGGTGGAAGGGGTGGGCAGGAATGGGCATTGAGGGAGTTGGGGGGGGGTCAATGTGGAGTCAGGGGGAGGGCTTCGGAGGGGCAGGGTGCTGCAGGGCCCACGGTAAGAAGGGTTCAGTAGCTGGACACTAGTTACTGCTGTCTCTGTGCACACCTGTCTGGCTCCTACCCTCTTTCCTTACTGCAAGGGGAGGGGATACGGAGTGTGTGTGTGGGGGTGATGCTCAAGGCTGCCCCCCCCCAGTCCTGATCTTCTGTGTGTTTGGCAGACGGGCACCTCCAGGGAAGTGTAAGATACACCCTGCTCAGGTGAAGGTGAAGAGCCGCCTCATCCCCTTTGTGCCCAAGGAAAGTAAGTATTCTCCAGTAGGAGAAGGAGCTCCTGCTACCCCTTAGGTCAGAATGGGGCCCCAGAAGGACCTGGAATGCTTCCACAGCCCCTATACCTAGCACCATGTCTGACACATATGTGACACCCAGCCAGTGTCAATGGACCCTGCAAGTACAATGCATCTTGTTTGACAGATGTGTAGGCAACCCCAGGGGGCTGCAGCCTTAGGCAAAATGTGAGGTATTTGTATCAGGCAAGGGATACACAAAGTGCTTGGGAGGAACACAGAGAGAAGATGCCTATCTGCAAGTAAGGAGGTGGAGCATTTGGGCTGGTCTTCCATAGTTCCATTTTGTCCCACTTGGTTCAGGACAGGAGGAGCCATGAGTAAACCCTGTGTTCTGAAGACCATTCAAGGCTGTGAATGACTGCCTGGGAGAGTCTTATGGAAGGGTAGAGGGGGCTGTTCCATTGGGTCCAAGCTAGGTAGGAACAGTGGATTGAGATAGTAAGATCTTTTGCATACCAAGAGATGAAGGAAATTCATTTGTCTATCCATCAGCTCACCCATTCATCCACCTTCCATCCATTAACCCATCAACCATTCATCCACTCACAAATTTACTCATCCATCAACCCATCCATTCATCAATCCACCTATCATCATCCATCTACCTACTTGCCCACCCATCAATATACTTAGCAACCACTCATCCATTCATCCATCATTCCATCCATCTACCATCCATTCATCCATCCATCCACCCACTTCCTCATAAATCCATCCATCATTATCCATCTAGGCATCCATCCATCCAAACATCAATTCATCTCCCCACTCATTCATCCAAACATTAATTAATTCATCCACCTACCCATCATCCAATTGCTCACGAATCCATCCATCCATTCATCATCCATTTATCCATCTACCCATCCAACCACCCAGCATCCATTTAGCCATTATGAATCGATTCATCTATCCATCCATGCATCCTGCTAACCAGCAACCATACATCTAGAAAGCCATTATCCATCTATCTATTGATCCATCCATTCATCCAGCTATCATCCATCCAGCAGTCCATCTGCCTTAGGGTTTCTATTGCCTCAATAAAACACCATGATCAAAAGCAACAAAGGGTTTATTTCTGCTTACAACTTTCAGGTCACACTCCATCACTGAGGGAAGTCAGGGCAGGAACTCGAGGCAGGAACCTGGAGGCAGAAACTGATGCAGAGGCCATGGAGAACACTGCTTACTGGCTTGCTTGCTCATGGCTTGCTCAGCCTGCTTTTTTTTATATAACTCAGGATCACTTGCCCAGGGTTGGCACACCCACAGTGGGGTGGGCCCTTGCCAATTGTTTTTGTTTGTTTGTTTTTGGCTTTTCGAGTCAGGGTTTCTCTGTGTAGCCCTGACTGTACTGGGACTCACACTGAAGCTATTGCTAGCTTCCATCTTTGTGGCCTCTGCGAGCACAGGAAGCAATAAGTCCCTTGCTCCTGTAAGCTGTCCAGATAACTTCTCCCTTACTGTGCCTGAATTTCAGGGACTTTCCAGTAGCCTGAGGACTCCGGGGAGAGCAGGGCTTAGGACAGACAGCAGCAGTGGCCTGGCACAGCGCCTGCCTGCCAACCAGGGCTTGCTGAATGACTGAAGAAGCGTCTGACATAACTCCAGGCTAGCATCCTTAGGGGTCAGGGTGACCCGTCAAACCCAGCCGGCTCCCTAAGAGGCACCCTAATCTTAGGGTCTGAGTGGAGCCAGCTGAGTGGAGCCGGGCATCTTTCCTTCGGATCTGTTTTCCTGGCACAGGCTGGGGGCTGCGCAGGTAGAAAGGTTGGCAGCAGGTTCCCTCTGACCCCAGGCCTTTCCTCTGCGCAGAGTTCATTCGGACGCCAGAGAGCATTCCTCGCCCCACGGCCCGCGCCCCCACCAAGGCGCCCCGCCGCAGGCGCCCCACGGCCGCTGCCCCTGCGCCTACTATACGGCCCACAAAGCCCGCACGGCCCAGCCGGAGACCAGGGGGCCGGAAGGGAGGCGGGCGACGGCGGGGACGTCCGAGCACCGCAGTCCCTGCGCCCCAGAACGGCTCCGTGCGCCTGGTACGACCCGCTGGCCTGAGCCCCGGCCGCGGGCGGGTGGAAGTGTTCGTAGGAGGACACTGGGGTACAGTGTGTGACGACGCCTGGGACACCAAGGCGGCTGCTGTGGTGTGTCGCCAGCTGGGCTTTGCGCACGCCGTGCGAGCCGCCAAGCGTGCGGAGTTCGGCGAGGGCCGCTCACTACCGATTTTGCTGGACGACGTGCGCTGCACGGGCAGCGAACGCAACCTGCTGGAGTGCGCGCACGCTGGCGTGGGCACGCATAATTGCAAGCACGAAGAGGATGCTGGCGTCGAGTGCAGCCACCAAGACCCGGACCTGTAGGGGCCCCTTCGGCTTGCGGGCACACCATGAGGTGGTTCATCTGCAAGTGACCTCTGTGTCCCCGTGGTGTGTGTGTGTGTGTGTGTGTGTGTGTGTGTGTGTGTGTGTGTGTGTGTGTGATCTCTTACCTCTCAGCACTTCAGAGAGAGAGGGCGGTGACTCTTCAGGAACTGCACCGGGTGGGGGAGGTTGGCTGCCTTCACAGTGTGAGACTGAGGGCCAGGGCTGAGTGACAGGCTCTAGACCAGCAGGAGTGTGGTCGGAGAAACACGGGTCAGAGTGTGGGCAGGTGACCCAGCAGTCCGAGGCACCGCAGAAAAAGAACAGGCTGTCTGAGAGCCACAGAGAAGGATCTTATAGGGTCAGGGGGGCCTGTGGCCATTTGCAGCCCATCAGGGATCAGGCTGCTGAGAGGAATCAAGTGCCCATGAGGGAAGGCAGACCAGAGGGCCTGGAGGACCTCCAAGGCCACTTGCTGCGCCCTGCAAGCACCCTGGAGAGGCTCCTGGGTCCCCTCCGTCCCTGAAGCCTGACCCTCACCTATTCCTGAGACAGAAGCACCCCTAGGCTCCCACTCAGTCCCTTCAGCCTCTGGGCTCCAGCTGGGGACGGGGGTGGGGCTCTACTTTCATCCTCTACTGTCTCCGTCACCTCCGAGGGGATCCTCAGCTTCCTGGGGCCCATCTATGGGCTGAGAAGCCTGCAGGACCTCAAGACTACGCATCACGGCTGTGTCAACAAATGGACTGTTTGCAATCCTTCCCTCCCTCCTATATCACCCACCACACACCTGGAAGCTGGGATGCAAGGTGAAGGGGCAGAGGGAAGAGGGTGGGGCCTGCAGCTCCCCTCCCACTCTGCAGGAAGAGAGTTCCTTGCCCACGGAAGGCCTCACCGGTGGCTCTGTGCCTGGCCCCTGGAGGGAGCTCAGGATAGCTGTAACTTAGCTTCAGATAGGGGTGGATCTAGGGAAACAAATGAGTCACCAGGCAGGGAGGACAGGATGCAGCCTGTGTCAGACCTGGCCAGGGCTCTGGGTGGGGTTCCTGGCCCGACCTTTGCAGGAAAAAAAGCCATTCCTGACTGAGTTCCGATCTGAACAGGCCTGGGTGGTGTTCCAGGCGGAGGAACTGGTGCAGACTCGACTTCTGCTCCTGTTCCTTGCAGTTGAGAGGATCACTGCTGAGGGGGAGCTGGAGGGTCCCCCTGGCTGCTCTGCAGCTCTGGACGCTGGTGGTTCTCTGAAATCAATCAATAAGAAAGTTCCTGAACCGTTAAGGAAATAACGGAAAAGGAAAGCATCCCTTCCCGGGGCAAAGCCGTGCAGCCTGGAGGCCAGGGAGCCGGGGAGCCGTCTTTGCAGCGCAGTTGGAGGAGGGATGCAGCGTGACACGCGTCTACCGTCGGTTCTGTTATTGACAGGAGGGAGGAGCCTGGGCGTGGAGGACAGTAGGCTGAGCAGGTGCACTTGGTGAGTCAGGGTTAGCTGAGAAGGTTCTTTTAACCTTCAACTCCCAAGTCACCTGTGTCCACCTCTTTCGTTTTTGGTTTGTTTGCTTTGGTTTTTTTGAGACAGGGTTTCTCTGTGTAGCCCTGGCTGTCCTGGAACTTACTCACTAGACCAGGCTGGCCTCGAACTCAGAGATCTGCCTGCTTCTGCTTCCCTAGCGCTGGGACTAAAGGCGTGCGCCACCATTGCCCAGCTCTGTGTCCACCTCTCACACACATTAGACTGGAAGGTGGTTCTAGTGCTGTGTGGCCTGAGGACGCCAGTCATTTAACTTCTCTGAGCCTCATGGGAAAAGGGAGGTAATAAGATTTCTGGACTTAAGGTAGCATTACAGATGTAACCAATGCACTCCATGAATCTTCTGAACAGAAAGCTCAGTCCTGATTTGGTGACATCCATGCTGGCAGCTGCCAACCGTGTTGTGTGTGTGTGGGGGCATACCATATGAGGGACTAGCATCGGGGCGACATAGAAACAAGCAAAATGAGAGGAGTGAGCCCCTTCAAGCTAACATGGAGAACCCCAGTCTTCTTTGTGAAGAACCAGCCGGCCTTGATGCAGAACTTACTGCTTCAGGTGTGTCAGGTCCCTTCATCCGGGTAGGCCCCCAGCACTCCCAACGTTACCATCCCCGTGGTGGCTATAAATTGGTGTCCAGGGCTTTGGAGAACATAGGCCTGCTTCTCAGTGGCTCTTCATCCCTGTCCTTCCTCAGTGGCTCCCTCATCCCTGTCCTTCCTCAGTGTCTCCTTCATCCCTGTCCTTCCTCAGGCAGTGGCTCCCCCATCCCTGTCCTTCCTCAGGCAGTGTCTCCCTCATCCCTGTCCTTCCTCAGGCAGTGGCTCCCTCATCCCTGTCCTTCCTCAGTGTCTCCCCCATCCCTGTCCTTCCTCAGGCAGTGTCTCCCTCATCCCTGTCCTTCCTCAGGCAGTGTCTCCCTCATCCCTGTCCTTCCTCAGTGTCTCCCTCATCCCTGTCCTTCCTCAGGCAGTGGCTCCTCATCCCTGTCTTTCCTCAGGCAGTGGCTCCTCATCCCTGTCCTTCCTCAGGCAGTGGCTCCCTCATCCCTGTCCTTCCTCAGTGTCTCCCCCATCCCTGTCCTTCCTCAGGCAGTGGCTCCTCATCCCTGTCTTTCCTCAGGCAGTGTCTCCTCATCCCTGTCCTTCCTCAGGCAGTGTCTCCCTCATCCCTGTCCTTCCT